TGATGGGATGCATCTGGGCATCACAGAAGCCAAATACAGCTGGTCAGGATATAGACCCACTCCTGTGACAGGGAGAAGCAACACAAAGCTTGGGCATTTAAAGTTTGTATTACAGAAGCCCTAGTACACTTGGCAGTGTGTGGACCCCTTGCCCTGTCCCAAGGAGCTTACGGTTGAAACAAGACAGCCGAAGGAAAACGAACTATGCAATGTGAAATAACTTACCCAGGATTAAGGACAAAGTCAGGACTGGAACTCAAGGCTCCGGGTCTCTAGCCCCTTGCTCCATCCCCTTGGCTCTGTGTTGGCATGACACACATGAGGATCATCCTTGAGATCATCCAGGTACTCCTGTAATACAAAGAATAATCATTATACTTCCCTGGGCCCACTTGTAACACGCCTGTTCCAAAGCCGATCAAATTTCCTCCCCGAGTCAGTTTTACAATGAAAAGTGGCTTTGTTTAGTCAACAGAAGCGGTAACACATGTGATTTTGTTGTTAACAGAGCTGTAAGAATTTTAAGTCCTTCTTGGGAACGTGTCTTTTTCAGCTGGCTTTTCCAGCCGTCACAGGGTGCTGTATCTGTCTTTGTAAACAGCTACTGAATAAAACATTCGGAGTGCAGTCGCACTTTGTACAAGTGTCAGGCAGGTTTATAAAGTTTCAGAGAGAATAAATCAACTGCAAACTGGTGCCTTAGCTCCTCATGAATATCTAATTTGGAAGCACATCTCTTCCGAATATGCTTATGAAATTCAAATTTTGTGCATATCGTCAAAATGCTTTCACACAAACTAGAACAAATAGACCCATTTGGTAAGGATGGCAGGCAAGAGGCACTGCACCGTTGTATGAAGTGTCTTGTTTCTGCTTTCTGACTTGATTTTTTCCTCCCCCTTTAAGGGGGGGGGGAGGCTAAGCTACATCCTCAGATGGTGTACAGATGCATAGCTCTGCTCAAGTCCGTGAAACTCTGCTGATTTATGACCGCTGGGGAACAGGCCCTACCTTTACTGGAGCTTTGTCTATATTCAGGAATAACTCCACCGAGATCAACTGAGTTATATTGCTGTGCAACCAGCATAAGCAAGAAAAGAAAAAAAAATAAATCAGACCCAAATTTTACACGCAAACACTGCATTCGCTTGTTAAAAGCCCAAAGGAGAACAGAGCCTGATTCTGAGCTCGCGTATGCCGGCATATAGCAAGAACAATTCAACTGCCGGCAATGAGCTGCACGAGTGTAAATGTGGAGTAGAAGCGCAATGTGGCAGCGTTCAGATTCCACCGCGACCGCTCGGCGTTCAGGGCCTCACGGGAAGCATTTATCATCGAGAGCGAGCGCAGAATCTGGCCCAAAGGGTCTAATCCTGCAGCGTGCTGAGCAAGCTCAAGTCCCACAGTTCCTCACTGGTTACTGGCAAAAGTCCAGCGCTTCACAGAATCAGCCCCTCGCTTTAATAATCAGGGAGCTATGAACTTAGCCCGATTGCATTTTTTCCCCCCCCTATGCAAAAATGCTGTACATTCCTTTATGCAGGTTTCCATAGAGTTGAACTGTTACTATTTTTTTTCGTTGTTGTTAAAGAGGTCAGCAAAGCACTGTACAGTGGGATCTTACTTTCATGAAGCGTGGAGGAATTTGAGACACTTTTCGTAGCTAGATGGTGGGGCTGGAGTGCAGCATAAAAAAGGACATGGGGATGATTTCAAAGACGCGTTGCTTTGCAGATAAGTTTCAACGTGTCTCTCCCCCCTCCGTCCCCCCAGCACACACTTCCTGCGTTAAAATGTGATATCCTCATTTTAATTGCTTCAATCCTATTAGTTGTTCTTTTTAACAAGTGATTGTATATGCCCTCGGTGTAGGGATCCCTCGATTGTGGGCTCGTGTTATTTAGACAAGCGCTCTTTCAGAAGTAAATGCCATTCTTAGCATAGGGAAGTACTTTAGGTCTAAAGGGGTTAAGAAGGCCTCCTTGCATTCAGAAACATGCAGGGGTCCCACAGTGCCAGTTCCAGCCTTTTAAACTCTTTCCAGCTTTTTTTTCTTGCAACAAATCTGTCTGACTGCCACCAGGACATAGGAAGCGTGTGCCTGTCAAAGAAATCAAGTTTACTTTTCCCGAGTTGTTAAACAGAGGCAGGGTATAAATACAGCTAACTCTGCTCGGACTATTAGCATTTCTCTTAAAATAAGGGAGTTACTTCCTAAGACCTTTAATCCAATGAGGTCCAGACCAGACTGCTCTATTGACAAAGACAGGAAGGAAGCTTGCTGAAGTTGTTGAGAAGGCAGGTGTATTTGGACTTTTCTGGACATCTCAGGCTTGCAAAAACAAACAAACAAACAAACAATCAGCTCAATTGGTGACCTTTCCTTGGAGAAATTCAGAGATGCCGTTGGTATTGTTTGCTCAGTGGATGTGGATCTTGCTGGGGAAGACCACTGTTCTCTTGCTGTTGGAGGTCCCCTTAAAGGGTAACGCTTTACCTCCAATACGGTATTCTCATGCTGGGATATGCCCGAATGACATGAACCCTAACCTGTGGGTAGATGCACAGAGCACCTGCAAGAGAGAGTGTGAAGCGGACTTGGTGAGTGATGAACATTTTTATATCCTTGGTCGTGGCAATTAGATGTGTGTGTGTTTGTGTCACAATGTATTTCTATTATAGAGAAGAAAGGCATCAGCAGCGTGCATGACGTGATCCAGGCAATGCATGTGTTTAACTGAAACCTTGTATTTAAACATAAAAATGGCTGATGACCTACCTGTTAAGGGAGGAGATATTTCAACGGAGCCACTTCTCTAACTGACTATACAACTTTGAACGTACATAGATTTCACTGTCTCGCCCAAGGGAACTGCCAAACCTTGACAACTTAGGCTCAGGAACTTCATTTGTTATTGGACCAGCTCACAGCACATTAGCCGGCTCAATCTCAACATTTTTGGTTGCCATGATAAAGACTTTGCTTCCCAGGAGAGAATTCTCCAGGATGCTACTTGACTTGGCATGCACATCACCAGCCTTTGCTGCACTTGGTAAAAATGACCATGCAGATATTTTCTCCTATGATTTTTCCAGCTCAGTATGTTCTTAGCTGACAAGTCAGAAGATCATTTTTCCAAAGGCCAGCACTGCCAACTCAACCTGGCATCTGACAAAACCTGCTCTTCCTGCCTCCTTGCATCCTCTCCCGCAATAAAGACTCTGCAGTCAAAACCAAGGTGACTGTGTCATGATGCACAACATCAAAAAAAAAAAAATTCCAGTTGCTCTCGACTAGCGGGATTTGTGTTTTAAAAATAGTGACAATTTGCACTTGTCCATCAAGAAAGCAGGTGTCGTTCAAAAAAACACAAAGCGAGCCGATGTGTTCATGTTCTGGGTAACAAGACGTTAGTCTTACATTACCTTTTCTGACTAAGCTGACTTTTTAATTTAACTGCCAGGTGCTGCAAAGAATGTTAAAAACTGCTCCCGTGATGGCTGAGGACATTGCTTTCATAGTTTACTGGTCAGAAAGTGAAATCCAGACACCACTTGGGGAAATACAAGATGGGGTTTGCAGGAGAGCAGAACAAAGTCCCCAGGCAGATTCTCAGTAGCTACAAAGCGGTAGAGCTCCACCACCGTTGTTAAAGCTACGCGGGTTAACCACAGCTGAAGAATTTGCACATTTGCTTACACATCTTAGTCCTGCCTGATTAGAAATGGGGAAGGAGCTGCAATATGGCATCATCTAGTTCCTCTGAATTAACACATATGGTACCTGAGGAGTGGCCAGATCATTAGCTTGATGGCATTAGAAAGACCCTGTAGCGGTTGCTCTCTGTTATGGAGAAATTCAGCTGAATTCATTAAAACTACAGAGGTCCAAATCATACCCCATTACATATATAGCAGCAACGTTCACATTTCACTAAAGTGATCCACGAATGACACATTCTCTATTCTGATGCCAGACCCGTTTCAACTCCATTTCTCGGTCAGAAGGGCAAAATGCAGCTAACACCAACCAAAATTTAGAATTGGCCATATTTCACACCTGCTGCCTAGATTACCAGTAACAACTGATGCTCAGCAGCACAACTAAAGTTGGGATCAGCCCAGGCATGAGCAGAGAGGGTATAAAATTGGTGGCCACCACTACTGCCCAGCACACAAAAACTCTTCACTGTGCCGTCTCGATGCTGCATTTGATAGTAAGAGCAACGCAGAAATAAAAAGCAGTCCGTCAATGGATTCTTTTTTGCATCATGGAAACCAAAGTAACTCTGGTGCAAGAATTGGTTTTCACTTTAAATTCTGAGGTATTTGCTATAAATTAGACAAAGAACAATTATAAATCTGTGATTGTTTTCACTCCCGAAGTATGCTGCTAGTCTCAGGAAATTCAAATAATACTTCACATACTTCTGGGGAAAAGCAGGATTAATGTCTAGAGCCATATGATAAGACTTTCCATCCACTCTTGTTTCAGGGCCTTGTCCCTTGCCATTAGGAGTGTTTTACCACCGGGGAGGGGGATGAGCGGTTGTGGAATTTTAATCAACTGTTTCATGCAAATTATATTTAAAAAAAAATAAAAAATTCTAGGACTTCATGTTCTAAGAAACAAAAATTATACTTCTGCCTTCTGCAGCATCTTCCACTGAAAGATCTTAAATCTCTATAAATAGCAGTGAGTTTACCCTCATAGCTTTCCCAGCGAGACAGAAATGTGACATTGCCCCCATATCACTGATGGGAAAAAAAATCAGCTTCAGAGAGGCAAAGTGACTTATCCGAGGTCCTCGAACACCGGGTCCTCTGCAGCAGAACTGGGAAGAGAACTCAGGGGTCCTAAGCCTAATCCTCCAATTTAACCTTAACAGCACAAGAAGGAAGCTCGCTGAAAGCTTCACTGTTTTCTGCTTGCTTGTGTTTCTAAAAAATGACTTTCCATTGAGTCCCAGTAACGGTTTGGTTATTTTATTCCGTATTAGGAATGCGAGACCTTTGAGAAGTGCTGCCCCAATGTTTGCGGCACAAGGAGTTGCGTGGCAGCTCGGTACATGGATGTCAAGGGGAAGAAGGGGCCTGTCGGGATGCCCAAAGAGGCAACGTGTGACCGTTTCATGTGTATCCAGCAAGGCTCGGAGTGCGATATCTGGGACGGACAGCCCGTGTGCAAATGCAAAGACAGGTGTGAAAAGGAGCCTAGCTTTACCTGTGCCTCTGATGGACTCACCTATTACAACAAGTGTTATATGGATGCAGAAGCTTGCATCAAAGGCATCACGTTGAATGTTGTCACTTGTCGGTACCATCTCACCTGGCCAAATACTAGCCCTATCCCACCAGAGACTACAGCTCGCCCTACCACAGCCTATTCAGAGACAACCGTCATCGATGTCCTTCCACCTGCTCTAGTTAACAATCCAGTCCATCAGTCGGTCTACGTGGGGGAGACCGTTAGCTTTCTCTGCGATGTCACGGGCAGACCCAAGCCAGAAATCACCTGGGAGAAGCAAGTAGATGGTAAGGAAAAAATCATAATGAAGCCAAATCACGTCAGAGGGAATGTTGTGGTGACCAACATTGCCCAGCTGGTGATCTATAACACCCAGCTTCAAGACGCAGGCATTTACACTTGCAGTGCCAAAAACAGCGGCGGCCTTCTCAGAGCCGATTTCCCCTTATCGGTCATCAAAGGAGAACCTGCAAATAAAGAAGCATCCCAAAACAAAACCCACTTCCCCACCGACGAGTGTCTGAAGCAGCCAGACAGCGAAGATTGTGGGGAGGAGCAAACCAGATGGTATTACGATGCGAAGAAAAACAACTGCTTTACATTTATCTATGGGAACTGCAATAGCAACCTGAACCACTTTGACACCTACGAGAACTGCATGCTAACTTGTATGAACGGTCCGATCAACATTTGCAACCTGCCAGCCCTTCAAGGTCACTGCAAAGCCTACGAGCCCAGATGGGCGTATAACAGTTTGACAAAGCAATGCCAGTCCTTCATTTATGGCGGGTGTGGAGGCAACGAGAATAACTTTGAAAGCAGAGAGGCCTGTGAAGAGATGTGCCCTTTCCCGAAGAACACGCACTGCAAAGCTTGCAAGCCTCGCCAAAAGCTGGTGACAAGCTTCTGCAAAAGCGACTTTGTGATCCTGGGCCGTATAACAGAACTGACCGAAGACCAAGATTCTGGGCACGCCCTGGTGACGGTGGAGGAGATCCTAAAGGACGAAAAAATGGGCTTAAAATTCCTTGGGAAGGAACCTCTAGAAATCACGCTTTTAAACATGGACTGGAGCTGCCCGTGCCCCAACATGACCACGGTAGATGGCCAGCTCATCATCATGGGTGATGTCCATAATGGGATGGCCGTCCTGCAGCCAGACAGCTTTGTGGGCGTCTCCAGCGTCCGGCGTGTACGAAAGCTTCGCGAGGTCATCCACAAGAAAACCTGCGAGCTTTTGAAAGAGTTCTTAGGATTACACTAACCTTACTCAGAGGTGTCAGCCTTTCAGATCTGTATGTTTTATAGGGCTAACGAGAGCTAGGCTAGTGCAGAAGCTAAAAAAGCTGTTCGAAGATGCACTGTAGGAATTATGCAGAACCCTTATTTTAATCCATTAATGATGCTTAGCAACAATGTAGTATGCTCTTTGGCAAGCACGTACAATAGCAGCAAAAGGCTATTAATCTTGCATCAAAATCAATTCGCCCATATAGAAGTGCCATTTAACTAGCTGACTCACTGCAGTAATTACATAATTTTTATGTAGCTTCCATCATAAATGACTGAATTCATAGCATTTTTTTTTTTTGCAGTTAATTGGTACAAAGCTAAGTAATACACACTGTCAACTTAATCTGTCTCATTTGCAGTATGGAAATGTTAATGGTAAGTCATTATAAGTAAGTCATACTCTCTTGTTTCCTCATAGCAGCGCTAATATATTTCAAGATAAAACACTGTAAATTATTGTCTATATTTACTATAATTATACAGGTTAAGTCAATCTATGCATTGTGAATTTGATCACCTTTGAGTAGAAATTTACATAGCAATTTTCTTTGGTTTGTGCCTCATGTTGAATACAGTGAAAACAAATCCTACACTTCTACCCCCAAAAAACAGCCTCTCGTTGGAAGTCAACTGGACAATCATCCTGAGTGCAGTCCCCGGGACAACAGACACGTCACCAAAGCCCAACGCCGTTTCACACCATGCCATGAGAATGGCACTGCTCATTTTTACCGTGCTATCCTATTTGTGGTTTTCAATACGTACGGTGAAAGTCCGACATGAAAAGGTGTTCTGAAGCGGAAAGGCTGTGAGCCATTTTGGTTTTGAAAACCCATTGCACGTGAGACTGTGCAGTGATTTATTGCTTCATTTTGTCAGCAGGCCCGATTTGCTAGGTTATAGGGTAGAATTACAGCAGTCACAATGACATTAAAAATAGTAGAGTGCAATGCACATACTGAAAGAGCATATTATACACGCAAACTGCTCACAAATCTGATATACCCACACGTGAACAAAGTGCACAATAAAAGTATCTATCCATTTTTTTTTTTTTTTACATTTCCTGCCTAATTCCGCCAGAATTTTTACCAGAAAATGTCCTTCCAGCCAGTAAACCATTTTGTATATGGGCGCTGTATCCATGTGTACACAGAAATATGCAAAGACAGAAAGGTCTGTATGGGTGTATACACGCAATATCGATCTTGAAATCATACTTCTGTGTACTAAACTGAAAAAGTTACATCTGCACAATTTTTAAATAAAGAAAAAGCTGATCCTGGAAATCTCCTGCCTCTTTGGAGGAATGTCATTGCACTGGCATTGTGAGCGTTATTCTCCTATACTTGATTTTTGTCCCTACTGTGGTCTTTTTTCAGATGGGTAAGTGAGTTACTGCAACAGTGCTCAGTGGTGGCTGTTGTTGCACAAAAGGCCAATTCAAATATGGATCTGTGTCAAGATACGCTGTGCTCTAAGGGAAGGAGGACGCAGTTAATGCTACTCTGTGGTGCCATCTAACGGCTAATTCAAGAGCCAGCAGGAGGCAGCTAATTGCTTGCATCGCAGAGGGGAAATGGTGTTGAGGCAGCAAAAAGCGTGCATGTGCGTTTGAATGTGTAAGTTGGGCCTGATTATGAAAAGGACATGAGGAAGTCTATAAAAAATAGGTGAACTAGCCAAGCACTGGGTTTAAGCACTCCATGACAGCGCCGTATTTTGCAGGTGGCAACAAAGTTTGCAAAGACGAGATCTAATGGACAATAAGTGACAAGCCACTTTTAAATATCGTGCCTGACTTTCCTTCGCACATAGGTCCCTTTACACCACTCGGGCAATACCAGTGTACCTCCAAGTGCTTTTATATCTACCATAAGCCTTCTTCATCAAGGCAATGTGAAGGGGCTGCAGTGAAAATGAGAATTAAGCCCCTCTCCCTTTGGTTCATCTTTTTGCGGGGGTTACACATCATAAACAGGCGTGCTCTGAGCCACGGCTGGGAAAAGGTCAGAGTTACATTTTTATTCGCCTAATTTAAAGAAAGCCGAGTATGATATTGGTCGCTACATCTGAACCACGGCCAAGAAAATAATTGTATGTTTTTTGTTGCATCTTAAGCCTACGTAAGGAAAATTACAATTAAAAGTTCATAACATTTACATATCTTCTTGAGATGACTGTTTTGTGCACTGAGCTATGCTGACGACTGTCATTCTTTCAATTCCATTAGAGTCCAGGACCTGCTCCAGGTAATTTTGATATGTCATTCACCACCTTTCCTGTAGGCTGTTTGGCAAGCAGCAAACAAGAACTGGCATATTCCTTCCATACTTTTCTGACATAAAGGCATCTGAGTGAATGTTTAATAATGGCTGGGTTTATAAAGTGATTTTCTCCAAAAGCTAAAGGACTTCTTTGCAAATGTGGGAGTGATCAAATTACTCTAGAGACACGTACTCAATTGTTACAGAAGGGTGGAAATGTACCAAGTAGCAAATATCATACAATTGCTTTGGCTCTCAGCTAGCAAAATTAAAGCACTGAAATCTGGCACCGGTACAGCTCTTAGATTCACTTGTATGGAAAGTATTACAGTCCATGCCTAACTTTATGCCACAGTAAAGTCAATGGGATTTAAGCACGTAGCTCAAAATTAAGTATGCATCTAAGTGCCTTGCTTAACAGGATCTGACTGTTGCCCCAGGACCATGGAAGATAATGTAGCATTCACAATGTTTCCTCGTCTCCCCACCTTTGCACAAGAAAAGAAACCGGCTTGACTTCAAAGCTCACCGGAGATCGCTGCAGTCTACTCACTAATGCCATGCTGCGTGTACATAACCATCACATCTCATTTGAGGGTCTCAAAGAACATCACACAGACCTTAACTAAGTGAAGTTCACGGCCCCCCTGACTACAAGAAGGAATTCATGGGGAATTTAGTGTGTAACAAGGTGTAAATTAAAAGCATACCCACTCTTCCATACTAACCCCTTGTGTAGACACGCTTATTCTGCATGTAGAAGGCCTCTTTGCAGCATAGGGCAGTCTGCTTAAAACTACACACATTCATCACTAGCACAGGAGAGGTGTCCAGAAGGGGACCTGGCATATAACATTCATTTTCTTGCAAGGGATAGGCTGGGAGCAAAACGGAGCCTACTGCAAGAGGCAATTCAGAAGCCATCTAGCAGCACATTTGCAACGTCAAATATGCAAATAGTGGTTTAGGTCAGGAAGCGAGAAGAACAGTGTCAAGCTCAGGTCTCTTCTACACCATTTTTGTACTAGCATAACTACACTGATTTTTTTTGGACTGATATGGATGTACTAAAAGGACTTCCGCTTTGCACTTCATTGTACTGGTCCACAAGAGCCTTATACTACTAGAGTACCTTCTCCTTCCCTTGTGGGAACAGTGAGGGTGTGATCAAAGCCCAGTCTAGTTCTATCTATCCAGACTGTAGAGCAGGGGTGGGCAGTTATTTTGGGCGGAGGGCCGCTTACTGAGTTTCAGCAAGCCATCAAGGGCCACATGACAGGCAGCCCAAGGCAGATAAATATTAATTTTCTAAATTTCTTAGGGGCCCCATGGGCCGGAGAGAATGGCCTGGCAGGCTGTATTTTGCCCACCCCTGCTGTAGAGGGTGGAGGGAAGAGCTGTGTCTGTCGTGGTGTAGTTCAAGCAGTACAACTTTTTATTGCTGACAATGTCTAAAGCTGTTGGACAAGCTTATAAGTGAATCTAAGCGACCCAATTGAAATTAGAAAGAAAAACCGGGTTAAAACCTCTATTCTCACAAAAGATGCCACGGGACCTTTTGTAATCACAAGGTCAGGATTTCAATTTGCATTTCAGCCAAATGACTGCTCCTCCCTTCAGCACCAAACTGAAGCACGGCGTCTAGAAAGAAGCGCATCCCCTACTGAAGCATCAGCACTGCTTCTCGCTGCAAGCCTCTCCAAGAGGGTTTTCCCATTTGGGTGCTGCTCCTGTTCCCCCCCTTAGTTTGTAGATACAATCACAGCAGGTAAAGGACCCCTTCAGAAGTCTCCCTTGCCAGTATATATCTGTATCTAACACTACCAGTGCTACACCACGCCCCAACTTCGACAATTCACTGTACCAACTTCAAAGATGTTTCAGGGAAGCTGGATAGCTGGCAGGATCTCCCAAATCCCATGGCATTTTCCTTTGAAATGAACACAGACTAGTTGGTCGAGAAAGAGATCCTGGCCCCAGTCCTACAAGGCTCCACGACTAGTGCAAAATAGAAAAAGATGCAAGAAAAAAATGGTCTTTGTTCTTTTTGTAAAAAAGGATTTGAGTGCTTTGGTGCACTTTCACAGGCATAAAAAGGATACCCATGTAGTTAAGCCTGGCATTGTCAGCTCTCACTAGAGTGGCATACAGGGGGAAGGGAAAGATGGTATTTTTTGCATGAACAAATGACTTATATGATTAAAAAAAAAAAAAAGAAATCAAAATCCTTCCTCAAAGAGCCCTAACTGGATTTCTACTGTAGGCAAGCCTAATCCAAACTGCCGGTAGAAAACCTCCCCCTCACCAACTTTAAAGACTTTCAGACTCAAATCTAACATTCTGGATAAACCTCCCAATCGCTTCGAGCGGAGAGGAGGGGGGGAGATCATGCCTGACGAGGCAACTAACAGTCATCTGCAGGAAAAATATACAAACGTACAAGTACAAAAGACTGGAACAGAGCCCTTGCCAAGGAAAACACATAGTCTTTCCTGACTCCTAATTCTCAAGTCCCCCTTATTTTGCCAACATACTTATTTCTCCTTCTCCTCTGCGCTAGGATTTAGACCCCTGATCAAGAGAGCAGCAAACTGGAGAGAAATGCCAGCACCTGCAAGTCTGCATTAAAATCCGAAGGAGGAGAGAAATGTGGAGGTCTGGCTCCGTCTACTTCTCCTGTGACTCCATTCATAGGGGTGATGGG